ACGACAAGAAACCGCTCGACATTTCCGATTACTTCAGCACTTACTAGACAAACGCTCTAAACTTCCAATTAACTACAAAAGACTCATATACATGACTATAATAAGGTCTATTTTGACTTACGGAGTTGAGCTATGGGGCTCCACTAAACCATCGAATTCCTCTCGTATCCAATCCTTACAATCCAAAATCCTTCGTAAAATCCTCAATGCTCCCTACTTTGTTACAAATAAAAGCATCCATAATGACCTTAATGTTTGTTATGTTTCAGATCTGGCCCAATCCAGATACCTATCCTTACATAATAAATTTCAGAATCATGTCACCCCTCTCGTTTCTAACCTTGCTTCCTCTTCAATTCCAGATAACCGTCTGAGACGTCTGAAAAGAAGATGGCCACGTAATTTCCTAATGTAGACATATCATTAGAGTGCTACTATTGGGTAGTTTCTCAGCAAGTTTTTTCACGTCATAATATCCATATATTCAAATTAACTAAATGTATTTCTTTAATACAATTGTAAGTATAATTAAGAAATAAAATTAAAAAAAAAATCTTTCAGTTGAGTTCATTTCAACTATTTATTTTTACAATAATAATTTTTATTTGATAAATATGGATGCTCAGTATTTAAGTAAATCATTTACCAATTTAACCTTTTCATAATTTGACTTATTAACTTATTTATTACAACATGCTCTGAGATGTTGTAACTATTTTTTAAACTTTAAAATTGTTTTACTAAAAAGTACCCTTAACCTTTCCTTTTCTCAGATGTTACTAAGTAGATATATTAATCAAAAATCAAAGAGTTGATTGCTTTTCTTGAAACTCAAAACGTAATGTACCCCCCCAAAAAATAATTCTGATGGCACAACTTGCGCCATACAACCTCCCTCTTGCCACTCCCACTTGTGCTGAAGGTAAGATCAACAAAGTTATAGATGTAATTCGTACTCGACACGCAGAAGAAATAGCGTTCGCCACTGAAGTCACCATACCAACTGCAATTGAAATGTTTGATTTAATACTATGTATTGTAAAATATTTTAAATGATATGACACTATGTATTGTAAAATATTTCAGATGAAATATTTTACAATACAAAGTAAAACACACTTTTCGTATTTAGCATTTTAAGAAGTAAAATACATTGTTCGAAACTATTTAAAATACAAAATGCAAAAAAAGTATTTGTATTTTCTTTTCAAGATACAGGGGGAAGGGGGGGGGGGAGGAGAGTAGCTCAGTGGTTAGACACTCAGCTTCCAATGCTCAAGATCCCAGATTCGAATCGCGCGGTTCATAGCAGAAAAATTATTTATTCTGTTTCATTGGCCGTGGTGCGACCCTGAGATAGGGAGACCCTCCTGAGGCACACCCAGCCTCTTCAAAGTGGATACCATTAATTCAATTATTGATTAAGAGGAAAAAACATGGCTGTTGAGCGAGATCTTGGCCCGATCCCCTCCCTGAACAACCGTTGGCCATGAAATAGTACTTTCAATAAACCCTAGTACTGAACTCAAGACCCTTCATAGGTTGTAGTGGTACAGGATTTTTTTTAATTTTTAATTTTTATTTTCAAGATTTTGAAATGCGAAAATGTACTTTTTGTATTTTAAATGAACAAAATTAATTACCATATTCGGCAGTTCTGTTTAAGTACCTTGGAGTATATTTAAAATGAAATATGAGAAGGAGTTGGTCGGGAGTGTGGTCAAATAAATACATTATATTAAAATATTATTTATTTGACGCCACCCGCGACCAACTCCTCATATATTCACAGTCAACCATCTCTACACCATTACAATGAAATGATTAGGTCAAGCGTCGTTTTTATAATAAAATTGTTCAGAAATTATATCAATTGAATAAAATAATTTATTCCAATTGATTATATTTTAAAATTAATGCATATCAACTCTATTATAGCCTCACGACTGCTTTCCTCACCACAATAAACCTATTTTTTAAAAAATAGTTCAGGCTGAAGCCTCCTAAAACGGAAAGATATATTTTTTTCTTTGACCCATATGCGTTTTTTTCATCAAGTATGAGAGTGATCAGGTACTAAGTACTTAAATAATCAAAATATATACTCTTTTTAAGTAATAACGCATGTATTTCAGCTACTAAATCTATGAAGTGTCTAGAAAACAAAATATATATCCTTTAAAGCATAATTCTTTAGATATTTTTATTATTATTATTTTTTAGTTCCTTTGTAAGAAATATAAATCCAATTCCCCTTCCTGCCCCCCCCCCCCCAAAAAAAATTGAATCCCGTATCCATTATTAATCTGCAACATGATCTAATTGCCGTGTTGGTTGTTGATTGGTTGGCGCTACTTTCGACATCAAATCGTTCATTACTGACTTGGCTACAAGGTGTTATGTTAGACGGTGCTTTATGATTTTTTCGAATAGTTTAGACATTTTTGTTTATGTAATTAGATAACGGTGACGAAAAATATATTATCTTATAATAGTTTTACGTTGTGCCATCATATGCTTTACTATAAACTTTCAACATTTTTAAGTACATGAAGATATCAATATAAAATAAATATAAAAATATTATATCAAATGATATTGATGATCAAGAGGAGAATTGAAACCGGGGGGGGGGCGGAGGAGCTATATACACGTCCATTGACTATAAAAATTTGAAAAAAATTGGAGGGAGAGTAAATAATATAAACTTAATGCAATGAAGAAAGCGGAATTTTTTTCCCCGGTTTCAATTCTCCTCTTGATCATCAATATCATTTGTTATAAATGTGTTATAACATTTTTATATTTTTCATTATATTGATATTTTCATGTACTTAAAAATGTTGGAAGTTTGTAGTAAAGCATGCGATCGCACAATGTAATTAGATAAAGGTGACGAAAAATATATTATCTTATAATAGTTTTACGTTGTGCGATCACATGCTTTACTATAAACTTTCAACATTTTTGAGTACATGAAAATATCAATATAATAAATAATATAAAAATATTATAACACATTTATAACAAATGATATTGATGATCGAGGGGAATTGAAACCGGGGAAAAAAATTCTGCTTCCTTCATTGCATTAAGTTTATATTATTTACTTTTCCTCCATTTTTTTTCTCAAATTTTTATATTCAATGGACAATAATGTTGAATATAATAATAATTACCTTTAAATTTGTTTTTTTTAAGAAATCTTTAAACTTTTTTTATTATTATTGAAATTTACAACTGCATTAAACAATAAATACAACAAGTAAATATGAAAAATCTTTAAATTAAATTTGAATGGTGTAAATCCAGCGATGATTTAGTTCGCATTAATGACACAGGTTTCGTTGTTTCCTTCTGCTTCCTCGCGTTTTTACCGCATAATATTTCATATGCAGTAAAATATTACATCAATAGATTTCTGAATACCAACCATTCTTATTGAAAAATATCAACCGCCATTAAATATATAAATGTTTCTATCAGAGTTGGAAATCAATTTCGCACAGAAATAAATAAATTGCTCGTATCAGCATTAAGATTATGGCAACCAACAGAACCCTACTCAATGACTTTAATATCCCATTTATCCTACACCTTATCCCAGAAAAGTTTTCAAAATTTACCCATTCATCATCCAAATCTCCTAGCTTAATCCCAATCCAGCTACTCCCATCCCTATAATCCTCCTCAAAAGTTGAAACGGCTATGGTTCCACGCCGTAATATGTATATATTGTAGTTCCGGCAATGGGCGTAGGGATCACCTGGAGTCCTGCTTTTCCCTCCATAGGTGGAGGGATAAGCCTGGTTCGAACTACCCTTGGCTGATTGTAAATAGTGTATATAGTCCTTCCCCCCATTCGGTTTCAATTCTTCTCTTGATCATCAATATCATTTGTTATAAATGTGTTATAATATTTTCATATTTATTTTATGTTGATATTTTCATGTACTTAAAAATGTTGTAAGTTTATAGCAAAGCTTATGATCGCACAACGTAAAACTATTATAAGATAATATATTTTTCTTCACCCTTATCTAATTAAATTTAAAAAAAATGTCTAAACTATTCGAAAAAATCTTAAAGCACCGTCTAACATAATACCGTGTAGCCAAGTTAGTAATAAACGGTTTGATCAAAAATGGTTCCAGGATTTAATTTTTTTTCGGGGGGGGGGAGAGAGGGTGCTTGTATTTTTATTTCTACCAAAGGAACTCCATAGAATTATGTAAAATATATATATATATATAAATAATAATAAAAATATCCAAAGAATTATGCTTTTAAGGATATATATATTTTTTCTAGGCACGTCCTAAATTTAGTAGCTGAAATACTTATTTCTGTATGTCGTATGTTTGTATTTTACTTTACTTATCTTTAAGTTTATCTTATTTTAATTTATTGTATATACTTTTTGATTATTATCTAGTTATTATATTATTTTATTTATATATGTTTTCTATAAATATTGCGTGAATGGACTCTTTTCGCACTATAACCATTGTCCATATTGTGATAAAATTATGTATTACTCAATGAAATATTTACAAGGGTACAGACTAGAGAAAACTACTAAATTAACAAGTGTTTTTATTGATATTTTTTCCTCAATCAAGAAGTTTTCTGAATAAGGTAATGAAGTTACTAGAAGCAGAGTCCTGATTGGTGCGTTTTCCCAAAGAACAGCCAGCAAAGACTTCGAGTACGGTTCGGGTCGAAGTTGTACACTTACATTTAAATTACTTACAGCCTTGGTACTCTTCCTGGATTCGTATTTCAATAATTTTTACACACAGGCGTGACCCGAAAGGCAAGACAATCTCCTTGCGTTTTAAACAGATAAGTGAACTAATTCTACCGAGATGTTCCAAGAAGGATTCCAAGTCCCAAATAAGTGGAGGATAGGTACCAAGAGCTGGAACTGGTAGGGAGGAACTGGAAGGTGACGTCGATCCCCCACCACGAGGAAGAGTAGTCTTAAAACATAGCCGCCACAGGGACTGGCCAGAGATGCTCGACGACTGGGGATATACTGACACCAACGGTGAGTCCAACTCTTTCGTACATAGGAGCCTGTGCCAAGCGTCAAAGATCGCATTGCAAACCGTCCCAAACTCATCGACAGGACCTTGAATATGCCACAAATGGTCCTTTCAATGCAATTACACCCTCCAATAAAATACCTGTAATTTATGAAAACAAGATTAAATACTCTGTCGACGGAGGGAAGTTTTCCTCCTAATCTTCAATTCTTTTTTTCTTTACCATTTCAACGGAAAGATTAACTTGCCATAAAAATACGCCCCGTGTGATAAGAGCTTGATAGCGTTTGATGACCTCGTAACCAGCAATTAATTTCCCAGTATTTATAAAAATGATAAATATTTACGTTTTTCTCTTTATCATTACCAACTAGATTATTATCCTTTTTTCTTACTAAAAATTTATCTACAGTATATATATATATTTTCTGAACGCTACACGTTTAAATAATAAAATAAAATAATCCTCTTTAGCTCGCTTGATTTAGTTGTAACCTGCGTGAAGAGCATATACAGGAAGGAAATATGCCCAAAACTGTTGAATGAGTCTGCTACATTCGGTTGTACTATCCCGAATGTATTTTCATTTGTTAATTAAATCAACTATCAAGTATTTAGTTCAATATAATGAACATGACTGATTGATTATTATTTTTATACGGAATTAAAAATCGTTGGAATGATAAAAGGCAAGTTTTTCATTCGCTATCGGTATGCAAACGCGTTGAAGTCATCGGTTTAAATATTTAAACGGATCTTTGAGGTAACTAACAGTAAATGGTTTATGATATTTAAAAAACAGTAAAAGATTAATGATTTTCAAATGGTGAGGCACAGTTACGTGTTGTTATTATAATGATATTGCTATTTGTCATGGTAGTTTTAGATTGTGGCGATTTGCAAATGAATCTTTGAGGCTTTTTTTTTCTTTTTCTTCAATAAAAATATACATGTAGTGTCATAGCTTTATAAGGAGCAAATAACATTTATTAACAATGCTTTCCAAAATGTTTACATTTTGTCAATTAAATATAGACAAAATGTTCTTTAATATTAAATATAATAAGTCCAAAAAAAGTTCTTGACCCAGTTTTTGTAATGTTTTTCTATATTTGTTGGGCTTTAATTAATTAATTTCAGAACATTCTAGAAGATATGTTCTATATACATATATATAATAAATTTTATATGTATAATTAATTTTTTCAATGGTGTAACATGCGCCGAAAAGTAAACATCATCATCTATATGTATTTCATTTAATATATTGTATTGTATGCATCTCAACGTATACAATACTCAACAAGATCATGCTAACTATTAAAGAGTATGTTTCAAAATATGTACAATATAATATGTATGTTTTGCGAACCGTATGCGATCATTTGGTACGTTGTTGCACTATTAATTAATTAAAATTTAAAAATTAATCAGAAAAAAAATTTGATTTTTTTTTACTATTGCGATAACAATAGAAAAACAAGTTATAAAAGCTTAGATTTTTAGTTTTTCAAAAACCAGGTTAGTGTGAAAAATATCATGCAAGGAAATTTCCTTTACAAGAGACACACAATCTGTGTTAAAAAAAAAAATGATTCCATTAAAACTAGTGATAGATATATTAAAAAAATAAAATAAAATAAAAAAAATAGGAAGTCGTTGCTATAAGCGCTTCCAAAAATATTCTAAAATAATTCAAATAATGGGCTCACTTACTCCAAGCTGACCAGAAGTCGATGGGACAGTGTATTATCATTTAATTTATGTGTATTATCGTTACTTTGTTTTGGATTAACTTTGCAAATAGTAAGTTTACAAACCATTCAATGTATATGCCAAGTTCGTATAGGATGCTTATCATTGAATCTATAAAATATTTAATAATCACGAGGAAAAACAATTGAGATCCCTTATTTATTAAAAGCTATTTTTCTATTATATCTACCTAATGTTGTTAAATTATGCACATCTATAATTATCAAAATTGAAGTAATGAGGAAAACACATAAATATGTAAACGGGTTTCCGACAATTTGTAAACCTTTTCTGAAATCATCTAAATTACTTTATATTTATACTTTATATTATTTTATACATTTTTGAAAATAATATTTAGAAACTAGTTTATAGATTTGTTCAAGACATAATTCCATTTAAAAAATAAATAAAATAATATTTTGAAGAAATCAGCAAAATATCATTTTATTTATTTTTAAATGTCTTCATCTTATTTATTTAATTTATATTTATACGTTATATGTAACTTATCATTGGCGGCAGTGTTAAACCGGATAAGTCCAAAATGTGTTGATTTAGTGTTATCATTATCATATTTTTATTAAAACCTCTACTCAGCAGTTAATTTTAATTTTTTCTTCTGCTTGTATTTACTAAAAAAAAATCAAAAAAACATTTAAATATAATGTAAATGAAATGTTTTAAATTTTTTTTTTGTTTCTTCTTCAAAGTTAGGATTGCTAACGTTGTGTTTCTTAAAAAAAGAATAAATTGTGATGGTTTCTAATTTGATCTGGTTATAATTATTATATTCTTCTACAAGAAATTGTAATAAAATATAATTGTAATGAAATGAATATAAAAATACAATTGTTTTTGGCAATTAAAATAAAAATATAAAATTTGTCTAGAAGTTGGTTGCGGTTTTTAGCTAATGATAGTAAACAATAAAAATATATATTTATTTTTATTTCTTAATCGAATGTATTTAATTAAATACATTTTTGTTTCTTAATTAAATATAATTTATTTTTATGTTATATTTTCATTGACAGAAAATCCTAATCAACTTCTCTTTAATAAAGCTTCTAAAGCCAACTATTATAAAATTTTGCCGTATATTTTAAGTGTATTTTTATATATTCTAGTGCTATCATAAATTGAATTTTAATTTAAATGGTATCTTTATTCTAGGCTTATATTTATTATTATTTTTTTTAAATATCTCTCTAGGACCCACCCTTAAACTTAATAAAACCAACCCTTAATGCTAAAAAGATGAAAAAAGTTACTGAATTTAAAATTAGGCGATATTTCAGTTACATTACATACTTACTACATTATTTTGGTTATTTGTCTATTTTTAAAGGAACGTTCATTTGGAATGAAATTAAATAAACATTAACTATTTGGCTTTAAGTTTATTATTGTAAGTATAATATATAAATTAGTATGACTTTGAACTTGGTATATTTTGAATTAATCAATTTAATGTTTACATATAATTAATTAAATAAAATAATTCTCTGATTTAAAACCGTACTCTTTATCGTATTTTCATATACAAAATAAATAAATTAATATATCTTTGCATTGTATTTAATTAAAATTTATCATTTGAGATTTTTTTAAAAAATCAGTAGTTAAATAAAAACAACTTTTTTAAAATCTTAATTGTACTTTTTGGCTAAAATCGAGGTTTTTTTTTTTTAAATTATTATAATTAAGAATTATTGGTATTTTATCTGAAATATCTGCAACCTCTCATCTCAATGTAAAATTACAATGTTGCTTTTCGTTTATAAAAGTGGGAAAAAGTTAATTTTTCTATATAAAGAATGGCTGTATTTTTCACCACATTTATTTTCATTTGTTATCCACATTGGCTACGTTTCGGCTATGATACTATTTTCAAGTCATTTAGTCAATGCTGTTCTTTCTGTTCAGTCCATAATTGAATTTGATTCAGTCCGAAGTATTAACTAAATGGTCGTAAACCTATGACATCCTGTCCTACAGTATCCTTTAATAAAACCACACTTATCCCTGTGAACAAATCCGATATCTAGTCCACCTGGACAAACGTCGCACTTGGAATCCTCATACAAGACTGAAACGACAAGAAACAGCTCGACGTTTCCGCTTACTTCAACACTTACTAGACAAACGCTCTAAACTTCCTATTAATTACAAAATATTAATATACATGACTATAAAATGACCTGTTTGGACTTCCAAACATCCTCGTAAAATCCTCAATGCTCCTTAGTTCGTCACAAACAAAATAATCCATAAAGACATTAATTTTTCATGTTTCCAATTTGGCTCAATCCAGATACCTATCGTTCCATAATAAACATCATAACCATCCGAATCCTCTCGTTTCTAGTCTTGCTTCCTCTTTGATTCCTGATAATCCTTCGAGGCGTCTTAGGGAAGATGGCCTCGTGATCTTCTTATATAGACATATTATTAGAGTGCTATCAGTTCGAAGTTTCTCAACAAGCGTTTTCGTGTGTACACATTTACTTGATATATTTTTAATATTATACAGATGTAAATATCTTGAATAAATAGTTAGATAGTTTAATAGTTTAAATATAGTTTGTAGAGGTCTTTTTATCCCGGTACCTGGAGGAGTTTTTAAATCCCCGCCCACACTCCCTGGCCCGGGAAAACCCCCGTGTAGCCTTAAAGGCGAGGAAGGGGAGGACAAAAAAAAAAAAAAAAAAAAAAGTTAAATAGTTTAATTAACTGAATGGCTTGAAAACCTCATCATAGCCGAAACGTAGCCAATGTGGAGGAGAAATAAAAATAAGTGTGGTGAAAAATACAGCCTTTCTTTATATAGCAAAATATAATTTCACCTAAAATATAAACATACATGAAGTTAATTTTTCTTTCCGGTATACACTATTCCGGAAAGAAATGCATCCCAAAATTTCATCAACAACATCAAAAGTAAAAAATTTGTTAACTTATGAGATTACTTTAACTCACCCTTCAATATCCTTCTATAACTCGCAAATGCTTTGTTGTATCTTTCCTCACCTTTTTCTTTTTTAATACACACACACACGCATATATTTTATAACTATTTACATTATTAAATATTTATTTCAGTTCCTCATTATGTAATCGGTCTTATGTTATTGTTTTTATTGTTATCTTTAAGGGACTTAGTTCCAGAATAAAATTAATCTTTCTATTGTATATTGGAAACTTTTGAAGATATACATATATCATTAAGCGAATTTCATTGCAA